TTTAGTTAATGTTAGCTCATTAAATAACACAGTTGCAAATTAAATATTGGAATACCTAAGATTAACGAATGTTTAGAAGAATTTTTCATTGGCATGTTAACTAATGAAGCCCTAATGTAAAGTGTGACCGAACAATAAAGAATCAAAACACTTTCAAACAATATCTAGGGTGTGTTGTAGTCCAGATTAAAATGTAAAAAAAGTTTGAAAATAGCCTATTAAGTCTAAATATTTAAGTATTTGGCGCTGTGATGAACATCATAGCAAATACACAAATCTGAATCATTTGAACGCGTTTCAGAAACAGAAAGTAGTGCAGCTGCTTGGTTTACAGGGTTTCCGGGGTAACGGCTGCATTTATATGAATTATTATTATTATTATTATTTCTGCAGTTTAGCGCCACCTGCTGTCAGAGAGTGAAAGTGCGCTTTCCTCCAGAGCGTCTCTCACGCGCTCCGCCGTGTGCTTCTCGTCCGCGCTTGTTTACATCAGAGTGCGCACGCGTCTTTCACGCAGCGGTGTTGTGCATTTTGACCAGTTGATGGGAAAAGTATTGTTAAAATGCATTCAAAATTCTGAATAATTTGTAATGTATAATTATTCACGGTATTTAAAAGTGCCCACGATAAAAATATCGTGCATATTCATTACCGTGATATATCTATCGCATTACCGAATACTGAAAGAAGGATGAGCGAATCTTTTGTATGTTGTGACTAATCTTCTTATCCTAATGTGTTCTCCAGCTGCTGGCTCTCTCTCGATCGTTATTTCATCTTGAGCTTCTTCGTGCCCGTCTGCATCGTCATGATCCTCAATAGTTTTTTCTTCATCATCACGGTGTGGAAACTGGCCCAAAAGTTCTCCAGCCTCAATCCAGACCTCTCCAAACTCAACAAGATCAGGTCTGAGTGTGTTTTGATCCCCAAGTAGATTCAGTCTTGATTTTTGTGCATCAGTGGTTTTGATGAATTATATTTGGTGCGTAGGAGTTTCACGGTGACCGCTGTGGCTCAGTTGTGTATTCTCGGAGGAACGTGGATCTTCGGCTTCTTGCTCTTCCAGGAGGAAGGGACTGAAGTCATGTTGTACCTCTTCACGATTTTAAACAGCCTGCAGGGGGCGTTCATCTTCATCATGCACTGCCTGCTGTCCAAACCGGTACCCAAAATACACCATGACTCAGAAACCACACGGTGACATGACTCACTCGCTGAACATTTGCTAACAGTAGTTTGTTTTAGACTTAACATCTCGCAGGATTTCAGTGGTTTAAAGTAGTTCACTTAACAAAAAATATTTAGATATTGATTAGTCACACTTTTCAGACCACAAAAGGAGAATTTTACTCGGGTTTGTCCATATAAAGGCTGGCAGTTGATTACCTTCCTCAAGCTTTAAGAAAAAGGATGCAGAAGTATCACAGAATGATCCCATGTGATTTATGCCATACATACCAAGCATTCTGAATTAGTGGTTTACCGATATTTGCTGTTTTTAAATTATCGGTGTTGACCGATAAGATTTTCAGTTTGGCCGCTAAGTGTCACAAGCAGCTTTTATTTAGACATCGACGGGACATATTTATATTGACAGCACTAAGAAAGGCAGCATCTGAGCACGGATGCAAGCATAATCTTTAAATCCTAGATTTCAAACCGTGCTGCGCTATATCCAGTTTGCCACCATGTTATATTCATGTCATATTCACTCTACTTTATGCATTCGCAGTGCTCAATTTTTCCCCCCCACCAGATTAGTGTGAACTGTAGGTTACAGCATTTACTTCCTTTTTATTCATGATTTAAATGATTTCTTTATTTGTGAAAAATACTATGTTAGGATTATTATCGGTTTATTTTAAAAAATGTGAATTTCTTTCTTACATTGTTAGCATGCTATTTAAATAGTGTAACATCATGTATATCATATTTTTATCGGCCACCCTGCGTTTCTATGTCAGTTATGGTTGCTTCTGGGTGAGTGGATTCTCCGCAGGTTTCTCGTCTCCGCTCTATTGCTATGAGACTTGTCAGGATTGTAGCGCGTTCTCAGTGGTTTGCTGGCATGAATGTTATTTCATTCGAGAAGTAGCCTGTCCGCGAAGCGCTCACCCAAGCGTGGAAATGCACTGTTGCTGCCAGTTCTCATTTGCTGAAAATTAAACTAATTAGACTAAATCAAATGAAAAGGAAAAAAAACACAGTAGCTGTATATTTTCATGCTTTCTCAAGCAAAGCAAATTTTAAAAGTCCACTGAAAACACATCTTACATTTTTGGTCATAGATAATACGTTATACGATATACGTTGAAGATATACATAATTGTCAACATGCCTAAGTGATAAAGTTATAATTAAATGATAAAAAATCTGGGGAAAAAAGAGGAAACAATAAAATCCTCAGAACATTTGAAAAACATTCTGAAGATTTTATTTTTTAGGATACCTCTGATTTCCGTGTATGCTTGTGTTGCTTACAGTTAAAGTTGTTCTCTGTTTTCATTGTTGTTTGCAACGTTACTTGGCAATATTTTTTAAATATAATATTTTTTTTTTTGGTATTTTTTTTTATGGTCTGTTATTGGAGTAGTGTCACCCGGGTGGGAGTTTTAACTCCTATTCACTGGGAATAATAATAATAATCATTCAGTCTATGCTGCAATATTCCTACTTTAAGATCACAGTGTAATGCTCTAATGACGTATGTTTGGAATGAAGCCACTTTTGAAATACAAGCCAAAATTCCTATTAAAGTTCACTGTGGAAGAATAAATGCTTTACACTTTTAATATTTTACTCACAGAACCCACATCAAATGCTCTCCCAGTTAAGTCTTTTATGCAAGTTGTTGGATGGATAAATTGCTTTTTAGGATTTACATTTTAGTATTTTTTTTAAATGTCACTGCTACAAATAATATTTCCATATGTGTGTTTTCCTACCTTGTTTGTGGCGTGAGCGCTTACAGTTCAAATCAAATAAATGCATTTATAATATTTAATATATATGTGAAAATAAATGATAAAGCCACATTTAGAATGTGAAGTTGTTTACAGAGTTTCACTTTCACCCAATTTCCATTGTGTTGCTTGCATGCTAGAAAGCTGGAGAAAAAAAAATCATATACTTGATGCTTTAAATTTTTATTTATATGATTTCAATATAGCTAAATTTTTTTCTGTCTCTTCCCAGGTCTGTTTCTACCGTCATGCAGTGGCTGTGCCATTGGATTTAAACTTGTTAAAAACAAATGTGTTGGTAATTATGAGCTTGTGGTTTAATTGAACAGTGCAAAAGTGAAAGTGTGTCCTTCTGTGGTCTAAAAGAGGGAGTTCTAGAACTGTAGTTCTAGTCATTACTAAGTTAAAATGCATGTTTCCTTCCTGATTCCCCTCATATGTCCAGATGAGGATGAGTGTGTGCTTGTTCCGAGTGTGTGTGGTGATCGTACTCAGTGTGTAAATACACCTGGAAGTTACTACTGCAGCTGTGATGTAGGATTCAAAGAGAGCTTCCCGTGTGAAGGTATGAATTCGCATAAACTTTGAATCAAAAGGAATTACAAAACATTGTAAAAGCATTTGATCATATTGCAGTACACAGTCTGGCTTAATTTATAATGATATAATTTATACTAAAGCAAAAATTCACGCCAGCTGCTGTCTTTCCCTCCGGTCAGATATAAACAAGTGTCCCGAGAACGAATTCTCTGGATCTGGTGATATGGAGTTTCAGACCTCTGAGGCAGAATGTGAAGGTACCTATTGTTTTTCTGGCCTATCAGTTTAATCTGACATATGTTAAACAACAGCTACCAGTTTGGACTGCATGATGCTGATGCAGCACCAACACCACATCAAATCAGTGTGTGTCTAAATATGTGCAATTATCTTAAAATGACATTAACAAAGGCTTGTTTCCCATCTTCTTTCTCTCTTTCAGACATCAATGAGTGCTCAGATCCAGATGTTTGTGGCAGAAACGCAGACTGCTACAATAATCCAGGCGGCTACAGCTGCAAATGCCACCAGGGTTACAGTAACTATGGCAACAACCAGTCAAAATGCATCGGTGAGAATTAGAAACTATTATTTGCATCATTTTAAATGCACTGATATATTTTTTCGATTGTTTATCATGTGGCAGCTAATGAGAATCTTATGGAAGCTAATCAGTATAGTCTGTTTGCTTATGTTGGTCTTTCTTGCTGTTGTGCACAGAAATGGACTGTGATCAATTTTCAATAACCTTTGTTTTTATAAAATATCATTTTGTAATGCTATTAGATGCAAAATCAGTCCCACCAGGATTTTGCGTGGCTTTTTTTCAGATTTTGCAGCCTAAAATGACTGAATTTACTGTGGCTTTGCAGTGAAAACCCATCAATAATCATGATGTACCTATGTAATTAGTGTTAGTGACAGTAAGCGTTCAATTACCTGTAAATACTATGTGCATACTGAAAGTGTGTTTCTGGGTCCCCCATGTAAAAGGCAATTGTGACACCAGGATATAAATACTCATAATTCCTCTTTGCTGAAACAACAGAATTGTGTTCAACACAATACCTTACACATTAAGTCAGTATGTAATCAGTGACAATGATTATATCCTATACATGTTAAATGTTATACAGTTTTGGATTGCAGATGCTCCACAAACTGAAACAAGAGTACAGGAGGGTGGAAGAGTGGAGGTGGATCAGGGGAAGTGGGTAAGGAAACGGGGGCAGTGCAGGGCACCAAGATGAAGCCAACATTGCAGGTAATTCGTGTGGAGCCAACAAGGCAGGTAGCCAGAGTGGAGTCAAAGACCACCAAGGAGGGTAGAGTAGATGGAGCAGGAGACCACCAGGGCAGAACAGATGGAGCAGGAGACCACCAGGGCAGAACAGATGGAGCAGGAGACCGCCAGGGCAGAACAGATGGAGCAGGAGACCGCCAGGGCAGAACAGATGGAGCAAGAGACCGCCAGGGCAGAACAGACAGAACAAGAGACCACCAGTGTAGAGCATGAGATCACCAGGGCGGATCAGACAGAGCGGGAGACCATCATGGTGGAGCAGATGGAGAAGGAGACCATCAGGACAGAGCAGACAGAGCAAGAGACCACTAGAGCAGAGGAAGAGACCACCAGGGTGGAGCAGATGGACTAGGAGACCGCCAGGGCAGAGCAGATAGAGCAGGAGACCACCAGGGTGTAGCAGACAGAGAAGAAGACCACCAGAACAGAGCAAATGGAGCAGGAGATCACCAGGACAGAGCAGATGGAGCAGCAGACCTCTAGGGCAGATGAAGAGACCACCAGGGCAGAGCAGACAGAGCAAGAGACCATCAGGGTGAAGCAGAAGACCACCAGTGCAGAGCAGGGGATCACCAGGGTGGAGCAGATGGAGCAGGAGACCTCTAGGGCAGACCAGGTGGAAATTAAGCCCATTAAGATGGAGCAGGAGATCACCACAGTGGAGTTGGAGACCATGCTGGAGCAGAGAATAAATGTGGAATAGAGGGTGGATCTAGTATCCACAGTGGGACTGGTGGAGCAGAAGCTGGAGCCGAGAGTCCAGAGTGTACAGGGACGGCTTTAGTGGCCGTGACAGGAGACGCGGAGTTCAAAGAATGCCTCCATGGCCATAACAGGGAGCACAGAAGATTCACAGTAGGCTTCCTTGGCAATTACCGGACAGTGAGAGGGTTTAAGGAAGACCTCTTTGCCTGACAGAGCAGGCAGAGAGTTCAAAGCAAAAGCCACCACCTTGGGAGGAGCAGGGGAAGTATATGCGGTAAAACACAGAAGATAGAGGTTGCTATCACAGGAAGTGCAGATGAGGGAAGGACCTCTGGGACCATTGGTCTTAGCCCATCAGACTTGGAAATCCTGGGAACTACAGACTCCTGGCCACTGGACTTAGGACCAAGGGATTCAGGACCAAGGGCAACATTTTCACAGCTGCACGTGCCGACATCGGAGGGCCTTCCACCTTGGATGCCAGTCACAAACACCTCAAGATAGCCTTTGTTGATTCTGGTATGGTGGCCTGACATGAGGAGACTGTGGCTTGTTACCTGGAGTGGGCTTGTGCTAGTGGCAATCCAAGTCTTCCTATACCTCCCTCATGGTGAAGGAGGACCCACACTGAGCCAGATCCATGTACTGTGCCAGGGTCCTACTCCAAAAACAGTCCATTATTGTCACCTCAGCCCTATATGTCAGTAGAGACCATGACAACCAGATGAGCCCTAGAGACAAATCCACTGCGTAGACCTCGTCAACAATACAGTCATCACCACAAATCCTCAGCAAATACCTCAAGAACCACACCAGTCCTCTGCACAGACCCAGTGGCCAGATCCTGTCTCGCAGGAGACCGCCAGGGCAGAACAGATGGAGCAAGAGACCGCCAGGGCAGAACAGACAGAACAAGAGACCACCAGTGTAGAGCATGAGATCACCAGGGCAGATCAGACAGAGCGGGAGACCATCATGGTGGAGCAGATGGAGAAGAAGACCATCAGGACAGAGCAAGAGACCACTAGAGCAGAGGAAGAGACCACCAGGGTGGAGCAGATGGACTAGGAGACCACCAGGGCAGAGCAGATAGAGCAGGAGACCACCAGGGTGGAGCAGACAGAGAAGAAGACCACCAGAACAGAGCAAATGGAGCAGGAGATCACCAGGACAGAGCAGATGGAGCAGCAGACCTCTAGGGCAGATGAAGAGACCACCAGGGCAGCGCA